CGAGCTGCACCAGCAGCGTGATACGAGCCCTGCTCGCGCCTTGCGGACCCCATGTCCGGTTCCTGCCGTCTCGTCAGCTGAGGAACGTGGTGTAATCACCAATGACCTCGACGGGAAACAGAGGCGACAGCTTGAAGCTGCCCAAATGGCGACTCTAATGCGCGCCCATCCACGGTCGATCATTGACTCTCGTGTGGAATATGGCTTTTACCCTGCGGATCCCGCTCTGAAAGCGAAGGACACGGTAACTCGATCGTTACACGTCCACATTATTGAGCCCCCTCCAGAACGGATGATGAACTTGCCACACGGTAAGCTCTTCGAGCTCGTTTCTTGGTCCTACAAGAAATTCCGCTAAACCTTTATCGCAATCGTCTACGTGCACAACGAGGTGGCTCGCGTACCCGCAATGCGGACAATACCTGTCAGCTAGCCGTTCGGCTATTCCTCCCCCTCCAAACCTGAACCATTGGATGGCGGCGTCAGCGGGACGCGAGGGTGAATCGGCACGTTACGTGGAACGGCGTGTAGCCGGTAGATGCATGCACTGCATTGTTCAGTGCAAACTCTACGGGTGGCAACATGGCGCTCCAGCGCAAATGCTGCGAAGAACGTCTTCAATGACGCGATTCCCCCTCCGGTTTGACCATCGGTCTGCGGATGAATCGCTGTCGACATATCCAACTTGGTGTCGAGCACCTTAAAGATAGTCGACCAAAATTTTCCCAATTTTGGTAGAGACAATCGACTCTAGGAGTCCATGGTGTCGAAAAACACGGTCTACAAACAGCGTTGCCGTATCGACTCCGTCGATGGTGTCTGGTACCGACGTCAAATGAGCCATCTTGCTCAATTGGTCGACGAATACCACGACACCTGTGTTGCCCGCCGAATCTTTCAGCAGGCCAAACACAAAGTCTTAACTCATGGACTGCCAGCACCCAGCGGGTACCGGTAAGCTGGCCAGCGGCGCAGCCGCATTTTACCCGTTGACACGTCTCACACGTGTGCACATAGGTGCTCGTCCATTTGTACAGCTTGGGTCAGCAATA